CCCGTTATGTCGGTCCGTTTCAAATCCAACAAAGATATGGACCAGTCGCCTATCGTGTTAAGCTACCAGATCACATGTCAGCTGTGCATGATATCTTCCATGTATCCCAGTTGAAGAAGTGTCTTCAAGTACCTGACCAAGTGATTGACTTTGGTGATGTAGAACTAGCACCTGATTTGACTTATGCCGAGTACCCCATTAGAGTCTTAGATCAGAAGGATCGAGTCACTCAAAGGCGTACAATCAAGTTCTACAAAGTACAATGGAACCAGCACACTGAAGAAGAAGCTACTTGGGAGTCTGAGGATAACTTAGAAGAAAACTTTCCTGACTTCATTGCTTCTCTCTAGTTGCAATACCTCATCTATACTGTAACTTGTTTATTTTGTCAAAAGAATGGAAAACCCCCTCACTAGTCTTTTGAATAAAGTTATGATGTGTTAGCTTGACACATGTCCTTTTCCATTACTTAGTCTTAAGTTTTAAATCTCGGGACGAGATTTCTTTAAGGGGGAAGGGTTGTAACACCTCTGGTGTTTGGACCTAGAACTAAAACTTGGCATGTCATCATATGCATTGCAAAGCATTCATAAAGAAGAAAATTTGGAATGCATTCACTAAATAAGATTTGTTTCATAAGTTGTTATTTTATGTGATGCAATGTGATTCAAAACGTTAAACAAAGATCATGACCACAAGGGTTAGATTTCATGTGATCATGTGAGACCATGTGTCATTTGACTCAAACAACCCTAATGGGCCATGTTACTGGTCAAAAATCAAAGTTAAAGCAAAAGAAAGACAAATCAAATTTGAATTCAAATTTAAATTATAAAAGTCCGTTTTGCCCCTTTTGGATATTTCAAAATCCATTTGGAATTTGGGGTTGTGACAAAAAGCAAAGTTGGAGCTTATTTTATAAGGATCAACTTTGGTATTCAAAGTTTTTCAAGTTTACATATAAAATTTTGAGTAATTTTGAAATGATTCAAATGCTCTAATGCACCCCAAATTCAAATTTCAAAATAGAGGCAGAATTTGAAAATGTTTCTAGAAGCAAAGTTGTAGAGTTTGAAAAATTGAACAACTTTCATTTTTGGAGATTTTCAACTTCTTTAGAAAATTTGTGAGTAATTTGAAAAATGGACGAGTGGCGATTCTGTAAATTTTTCAAAATCAACCTCCACCTCTCTCGCTTGTCACGGGGTACGCGCGGAGATCACCGCCGATCGGATTTCGCCGCTTACACGCCGCAGTGACACGCCAATACCTCCGCGGGCGAAGTTCGCCTGTGTCCGTCAACACCGCACGCCTCCTTCTTGCTATAAATAGGAGCACTCTGTCGTAAATGATTCAGAGTTTTCCCGAGTTTTGCCGCCATGGCGGTGTCTTGCCCGCACTCACGCAATTCATCCTCGCCGTAGTGTCTAGGGCCAATTGCTTTGGCCAGAAGCTCCATCCCGTCTTCTTACTCATCCCAAGCCCGATCGTGTTGCTCCTGGAAGTCCAGCGCCGCCGCGTGACTTCGTCTTCTTCGGAGTCGGCCGGAGCTCCGCCATCCTCGGTCTCACGTGGTCCCGTCGATTCGGTACATCTCCGTCTTCACCGAGCCTACCTACGTGATCACGGTGATCTTCTGAATGTGAAAACCGTTTCACTTTAGTCCCTACTGCAGCGTCACCGTGGCTACGCCGTACACTGTCGTTCTCAGTCTGCCATGCCCGGCGTGGAGGTGGCTTCAGGGCACCTTTTTCCTTTCTGATAGCTGAGATTGGTTCGGGGAAGGTAGTAGATCATTTTGGTGAGGTCTGTTTCGCCGAAGCGTCACCGTCGACGCATTTTGCGGCCGGTCAGTGAGGGCAGCGCCGTCATGACAGGGTTGAGTCACTGACGGGTGGGGTCAGCCTGTCAGTGCGAGTGAGGAAGAAGAACAGTGCTGATTTTTATTTTCTGAATTTGTGAATAGTGCTGAAACTTTGGGAATTTGTAGGAAATTCATGATTGCTCCAAAAATTCTGAAATTTTGTGTGTAGCTTCTGAACATGCTCTAGTATGGTTTAAAAATTTGAAACGTGAAATTTGAATAAATTTTTAATGTTAAAAAATTCAGTCCATTAATTAATAAATGCAATTTCCATGATTTTTGTAGACCACTGTGTAGCTCCAAAAATTATGAAATTTATTTTGGTACACTAATTTGATATGAGGAAGCTTACATAAAATTTTGAGGTCATTTGGAACAAGTTTATTTTTGGGCTTATTTTAAATTAATTAAAAATTTAATTAGAGCAACCCTAATTGTTAGGGTTAGGGTTTAATTTTTTTTGTTTGGGTCAGGTTGTGTGACCAATAGGGTTTCAAGATCCATTTGGTCAAGTCCCATGTATGGTTTTTGATGGTAGGATTGCAAGTTGGTTTTGTTGGCTTGCAACGGTACCGTGAAATAAAATCATTTGCGGGGTGTTGTTACATTTCATGTACCGTGAAAGCATCATGTTTACATTATTATCATGTTAAAGCATATGCTATCATTTCGTGTAGAACCCGAGAGTGAAACGATTCTAGTTGAACAAGTGCTGGAAGAATACCCGGTTGTCGCGGGATTTGGTAATTGTGGTACTGATCCGGAACCTGAGATCGCCAACGTAGGCAAGCCCCGGTTTATGCATTACACCATTACCTTGTTTACTTTGAAAAGTTTACCACTTATGTTTTACTTATCGCATTAAGTTGTTTATTCAAATGTTACCTACTTGATGCATTGCCTACCTTGTTAATTGTTTACCATCCTTGAAGATGATTTCATTTACAAAGGCGTAGAATTGCTTAGTATGCTTTATGGTAGGCTTTTCAAAGTAAATGTTTCGATATAATCAAAGATGGCATACTGGCCAAAGAAAGAAAGAAGGAACGTAGAATGAACTAGAGACTAGTTGGGTGGCTTATCTTGAATGTTGGGTAATGTTGCCGACAATGTCGCTTAAAGGCCGCTCATTGTGGATCTTCTGAACGAGACACTTTATAGTACTAGTCACATACTCCGGTAAGCCTACTTCGGCTAATCCGATACTAAGACGAATGCCCACGCACTGGGAGTGGTGAGATGGCGGGAGTAGCGTGTACCCTCGTGGCTTGAATGTGGCCGGATTTGAGGTGTGCTGTGCTCTCGGGTGGCGTGGAGACGGCTTAGTACGGGAGGATCCGGTAGCGAGGTTGATATATGCAAGATTAAGTTCTACATATGTCGTGTGATAAGGAATCCCCAGCTGGGACTTGAATCAATTCGAATTGCCGGTGCTCCGCGGACATGGAGACTCGATTCATTACAGAAGCAATGTAGGACTGGTGAATTACTAAAACATGAGAAAAAGAATGGAATGAGAAGGATTGGAACATGGGATATGAACACTTAGTTGGAGATATTGAACTAAAATACTTAGTGGTAAAACTTGAAACTAGGATCAAGAATAGTAAGCTTTTGGCAAAGAATTTTTGAATCTTTCTACATCCTTACCTTGACCCAACACCAGCATCCCTAAGACCTTCGCCCTTTTTGGTCGGGTCAGTCTTGTTGAGTACTTTTGTACTCAGGGTTTGTTAACCCTTGTTGCAGGGGAGACGCATGCGCAGGCTTGTTTTGGTCCCTGCTGCATGTCAGTGTATGAAGTCGATGACGATGAGGAATGATGAATGGCCTTTGGACAAGGCACTAGTTTGTGTGAAATAAATAATGTTAATGTAATATTATCTCGCTACTATGGTTTTATGACACTTATGGGTATGTAAGTTTGAAACAACTGGTTTGTAATATTAAACTTAAGTCTTCCGCTTTATTACCTCTGGTATGTATATTGAAAAATGTTGTAATCTGCAATGACTGTGATTGGAATCCTGTTTGAAACGTGGATAATTCGGGTTTCCCGAGGACACCCGACAGACCTGTTAAGTTGTTGGGAACTTGTGTACGCTATCTGAGGTCTGTTGAGACATCTATAGGTGCACGTGGGCCCGATTTCTTAGGAGGTTCTGCCACACCTGTGACTTAATGGTAGGCCTGCTTTCTGAATTCGATGGAGTAAGTGCCGAGCTCGATAGCCCACTTGATGATGTGGCCATTGGCCTCTTTGTTACAGAGGATGTCCCCTAGAGGGAACTCGGTGACCACGGCAATGTTGTAGTACTCGGAAGTAATGGCGGAGCTTGAGCAACGTGATCAGAATGGCATATAATAGCTTCCGAACTTGAGGATAACGAGTTTTGGATTCATTAAGAACCTCACTAATGAAGTAGACTAGACGGTGCCCGGTGCTCGGCCGGTGCCCGGTGCCAGGCGCTCGGCCGCGTGAGCTGCCGTGTCCGCGCTCGGCGCTCCGTGTTCCGCGTCACTCAATGTGGTGGAAGATGGGGGTCACGGGACGGAGTGACGGACAGGAAAGGTGATGGTGTCTGCCTTTTTGGGCTTCGTTCCTTCGTGGGTTGCCGGAATTGGTTGTCGTATTGGGCCTATGAGCCATATTTGCACAATATAACAAGAATATACTAATATCAATATAAATCTGTGTATACATATTTATTTTTTGTCACAAATCTTGGGTATTCCATGGAATACAGGGGCATACCCCTGCCGCCGCCACTGCCGCACAAGCATATATATCCACTAATATGAGAATAAAAAAGGACTTGTGTGACGTCTTCATGCATAAGGACATACTTCCTCCATCCCAAATTATAAGTCATTTTAACTTTCTTATACTGTCAAAGCATCTCAAGTTTGACCAGGTTTATATAATAAAATAATAATATTTATGAAACCAAATAAGTATTATTAGATTCTTCATTAATTATATTTTTATTGTAATGCCTAATTGATGTCATAAATCTTTGTAATTCTCTCTATAATTTAGGTCAAACTTGAGATTTTTTGATTCTCCAAGAAAGTTGGAATGACTTATAATTTGAAATGGAGGGAGTACAGAAGAATTGGGGCTTAGATATTATTGCTAAACAACATCCTCAAATATAACCTTGGAGATGTGATGTTCAATTGTTTCAGGTGAGCAGAGTGCGACATAGTAGTATCTCTTCGTCACATGGAGAAAAGTCTGCCTTGTCACTCTGTTGATGGAGCTGCAGCTCTGGAAAACACATTGAGCCAGTTCTTGCATCTCGAATCCAACATTCCTATCCAGCTCATCAATCTTGTCCATGTTTTCTCCAGTCTGGTTGATCATCCAACGTTTGATTCGGTAAGCAATGCAATAATTATCAAACATCATACAGTACAAAGAGGATGCATGGTTCCCAAATTGGATGATGGTTCCCAAATCGGGTTCTGGGAAGATACTTGACTGAGCAGACATCCGCTTAAAATGGAATCCAATCCATTTTAATATTGTCCGTCAAAAGCATGGTATGGTTGCACAAACTTTAAGTATGGTTCCTCTTAATGTTACGTTATGAAGGGCATTACTGTAGGAATACTGGAGTGGAATAGCCTTGGAGTTAGGGTTGCGGACATTAATTTATATGATGAAAGATATACATTCTTTTGGCTTTTGAAACCTAACGAAGTTCATTCATAGTAAATTCCATGTATCGACATCTTGTCAACACAGGGACCAAAGCTGCTATGGATGTTTAGCGTGTGAGGCTGCCTCTAAAATAAATATTTTTCTATGGTTCCTAAAACGGAGGGTTACTTTTACCAAGGATAAGTTAGCAAGGAAAATTGGAAACCAAATATATCTGGTGCCTTTTCTGTTGCAAGAATGAAACAATTCAACACTTGTTTTTGACTGCCTTTATGCGAAGTTTCTTTGGCGTGCGGTATAAATTGTTTTAGGCTCAAGATTATCTTTGGATGTTATTGACCTTTTTATAGATGGTACAAGCAAGGACGTGGGATAAACAAATCTTTGTTGTTAATAGGACGTGTAGCCATTTGCTGCCAGAAAAAATGGCTTACAAGGAACAAAGTTGTTTTTGAAAAAATGCTAAACTAAAACTTTTCTACAGGTCTTGTTGATGGGAAAGCACTTGTTGTGACATTGGGCACAGCTACAATTGTGTCATGACAACAAAGAAAATATTCACCAAGTGTGCCGGGAGCTAGAACTGGCAACTATACATTTCTTTGCTTCCTTTGTATAGCTAAATAATTTTAGAATTGAGTTTTAATTAGACATGTTTTATGTTAGTTTAATCTTCTGTAATAAGTGATCTGATTCCCTTAGTTCTAAGGGATCAAGCCAGATTCAATTTTTTATAAAAACAAAAAAGGATGCATGCACGTATGTAAATACTTTTGCGACGATGCATGGCCGTACCAGAGCAGGAGCTTCAGTAGCCAGTCTGCAGCAGATGGATCTGGTGAGCTGCTCGAGCTTCGAATAATCAGGTAGAAGCTTCAGGTCCTGTTCGGTGGAGTGGTGCCTTCCTGAACAAATCTCGACTGTGCGAACTAGCAACAGTGCTGTATCCGCTGAGCGTGGTCCTTCCCTCTCCGTTTTCGTCCATGCCATGAACCACTCCTTCCACTGTGATCATCAAAACAGATTAATCCACTCTATGATATTGTATTTGAAGAGAGTAAATGGTTGAATGAGTCGTCAATTTTCTTACAGCTCCACGAAGGCAGTCAGCGACAGAAGCGTCGTCGGATGCATGGATGTCAATAAGGTCACGAAGAGCATAGGCGAGGCTGCTAGTAACTTGTGAATTCTTCTTCCCTCCTCCACTGCGCCCACACAAGTTGCACCACCGGCAGGTAAGCCGGTAACGCGGTGAACCGATTTTAGAAACGCAATGAATTGAGCTAGGAGTGACTCAATTAAGGCAAGAGAACGCCGACCGACCTTGCCGGCTTCTCATCGTCGCTGTTGACGAATTCATCGATGAGCCATTCGGCCGTCACCGTCCGATCGTCATGAGTGTTGCTGCTCATCAGCAAGCACCCGGAGATGGCCTCGGCGAGCACGCGCGCGCGCGCCCATCCCAGGCGCTCTGCTGCTCGGCCTGGTTCGAAGATGCTGGCCGCGGCAAGGAAGTAGGATCTCAGCGCGCTCTGCGGAGTCACGCCGTACATTTCAAGATTGTTCTCGTCACACCACCTGCGTGTAATCGCTACCTCAAATCAAATCCCATACGGTAATTTTCCACCTTTAATTTCGATTGTCAATCATAAGTGCTCAACAAGGAGAGGAGGTGTCGTCCTTACTATACCTTTTCAGGCTGAGCCACTCTAATCGGCATAGTCTCTGAAAGTTGCTGAAATCGGCTTTCGCCGCCTTGAGGTACGCGTCGTTGCTAATGAGGTTCATTCTGCAGGGGACAAACTGGGAGTGTCATGGATGCTTATGCCTAGTTACGCTTCGTTGGAGTTTCTGATGACTGACTATATGCACACATATATAACTGTATATATATATACTACACATATATTGTATATATATACAGATACCTGTAGAGAACCTTCCCGATCCACACGTCGTCGCTTCCACCGTATTGCTCCAGATACATTCTTGTTTCGATGCGTGGCAAGCTAGCTTCCCAGGGGAAATCCAGACCGTACATGACCTGATGGTGGCAAGAAGGGGTCTCATGATCAAGTGTGTATACGTGCTATAGTGCGCACATACATTTGGATTTGATAAGCCAGCTAACTTACCTCGCCAGGCAAACCCTCAGAGATGATCCACTTGTCGTTGAGCTGGTCCGAGGCTCGCCTCTCCCGGAGGAACGCACGGCTGTAGCTCCTGGCGCGTCCGAGGACGTGACCATCGCCGGGAAACGAGGCCTGGTCGGAAGCTCGGTACAGGTTATACATCGCGCTTACCGACTGGTTCGACTGCCTTGGGTAGCACACGAACTGGCCGTCATTCTCGAATCGCTTGAATGCACCTTCATGGATGTTCAAATACAAATTTCATACGATATTATATATTGCAACTGCTCCTACTTATCACACACACACAATATATATACTAGTACCAGTACTTACAAGGAGAGGCCGGGTAGCCATGTAGTCGGAGGAGACGGAAACCCATGGCCGTGTCATCGATGTCCTTCACGGGCAGCCCTTCGTAAATGACAAGCCTTCGTCGGACCAGTGCCTGTTATGTTAAAAGAAGAATGCACTCCTGATGAATACAATCTACTACTCCATCCACTATTTTATGGCATGAGACTATACTCAATATGAATATACCTATCGTATTTAGAGTACTATTTTTACAGTAGATTATTAGATACCCGGAATATAAAATGGCAATGAACTAATAGTTACCTGTAAACGTACTCCAAGTAGTCCTCAATTTCACTCTTGAAATAACGTGATATGCCCAACCTCTCCAACCGGTCCACAATCCACAAGCGCTCGAACATCTCAATAGGGTAAACAAAAGGTACTGAAAAGGAATTATATTACAAATGAGGCACATTTGTTTTGGAACATCATGCAAAATACTTCTCTAGGCACAAACAAGAGTATCGTTTTAGCTAGGATTGTTTGAAGTAAAACTTTGTTGACATTAATTTGACCAGCAATATTTGTAAAAATGTATTTTTGTTACAATGAAATAGTATATTATGAAACTATTTTTATGATAAATCTACTAATATACTAATCTTATATTATAAATATGCTTTTTGATGATCAAAGATAAAAGGCACGGTACGTTTGGCACAGTCCTAATTAAAATGTCACTTATTTGTGACGGGGACATTACGGTGAACCCTAAATGATGTAGGGATATCTAGTTGTCTTATTAAAATCCTCAAATTGTCGAAACATTTTTGTAAGGTAAAAATGTCATGCATGTAAAAAGACAGATGAAGTCTTCATACCGCTTCCGTTATACTTGCCAACCAATCTATCAAGGAACTCAAAGCACTTAGGGTCTCCAGTCTGCATTAGAGCGTAAGCGGTGGGAGCAGGTGAAGACATGAAGGAGCCATCTGGACACTGGAGCTTACGTAGCATTTTCCAGTCCAAACCTGGCATTCCTTCTAAGCTTAGAAGGAAAGTTGTTGGTACAGCATGGACTGCTTCTCTCGGAACCCTACAGATAAACATGGCAATCAATATGTATCCAACAGAACATACTGATAAATTATTTTGCTGTAGATGATGACACCAGTCACGTTGAGGTCCAATTTGGAGATATGTCATACTAATATTAGGTTCTCGTGGATTTCGTTGGAAATTCTAAGTCATGGACATGGATTTCTAAAGTTGAGGTTGTCTTAAGGAATTCAACTCCATGTTATTTCCACGTCCCAAAAGAGTTCTAGATGTTTCTTACTACTTGTATAGAACCCCATGCGTGCAATGATAGAGCCCTTTTTTCAAATTTAACTGGAACATCCAGTTTCCAAATACTAGTATCTCTTTGAGAAAATATAGATTCTAGACAACGTAGAGAGTATCTCTTTGAGAAAATATAGATTCTAGACAACGTAGAAGGATGACTGGGGGAGGGTCAAGCTTTTTGTTATTTTTTATTTGGATAAAAGAACCTCATTTCAACAAGGGAGCGTGCACTGAATATAGGTGTAAAAAATATAGTTAATTCCCCTTTCGTTTCACAATCAATTAAGGGTTGTAGAATCATGATGTGCTGGTTATAGACAACATTTAGAGAGCCATATAGCCTCCATGTCCGTGAAATTTGCATTTTCAATTAGTTTTCATTAAGGCATATAAGGATGCAATAATATGCAACTTCCTAGTTCACAATTTGTTCCTTGAAAAAATAAGAGGGAAGAAAAAGACGGATCTGGCATGCGCCGTCTTAAATGGTACATACTTAGTGAGCTTGAGTTCTCTTTTGGCATATATTGCTTCCAAAGTGGGATCATCCAAAGGTATGTTGATGCCTAGGTCCTTGGCCTTCTCTATCAACATAGGGAAGATAATCTCGAAGCCAGATAGCGTCCAATTCTCATCATCCTTGGTTACCCTCCACATATTTTCGGAGATGAATGATACACCTACAACAAGAAAAATTCGTGGCATGGATATTAACAAGGATGTTCACTATAAAGTATCTTAGATCACTTGTTAATAGGTAACCTCTTTCGAGTTTTCTTAGTTATTTGATCATTTTAAGTAATCGTTACACTTGACAGAGCTTATTAACCCCAACATTGCGATATTATACATTACTGCACAAATGATTTTTGCTAATTGTATTTTCACTGCCGGTTCTGTTAAAACCGTTGATGATAATATATGATTGTCAAGTCGGCGGTGATAGGGGTATAGGAACTAGCGTTGATGAACTATCTGTAGTAGTGATACAATAACTAATTTAATTTTTCCAAACTGTAAAATTCCCAAACAATTTGACATTTCATTAAGAATACATGTGCTCTATGAATATATGATGCAATTCATCAGAAAAATATTTTGTACAATCTAAAAAAAATTATACTGTTTGACCTTATTGAAAACAAAACTTTAAACATTTCTGTGCCAATTAACCAACATGCATTGTTGATCTATTTCTTGTTCAAAATTAGCTCTTAGAATGTATGAGCTCTCTATAATCTGTGAGGAAGACTACCTTTTTTAAACGCATAGTCGTGGACATCCCATGATTTCAGTGCGATGATGCAGGCGAGGGTGTTGATAATCCGGTCTTGGACAAGGAAGAACATGTCATCACCCCATGATCCATCTGGCAGCTGATTCCGAGCAATCCAATCAATGCACGAGGGGAACTGCGGTGCGTCATCTCCATTCAAGCTCTTCACAAGGGCAACCCATGCTGTGTCATATGCTGAGACGTTGATCTCACCTCGCCCATTGATCGAAGCCCTGCTCGGATGGCATTAATCATTTCGGGCACGCCACTTTGTTTATCCTTTAAGAAGATTCCGTAAATGATGAGTTCAGTTAAACACTCAAATATATTTGTCCAAATGATGTGATTCCACATTGTTACATATAGGTACATTGCAAAATAATTATAGTCTCCTGATTGCAAAACATATGTGGCACTTTAACCCTCGAGAAAGTAAGATTATATTATGAGCTTAACGTTCTCCTACAGCATTTCTGCTGAAATATAGTTACGAAATTATAATCACAACAAACCACATATGTACATAAATGTGAACCAAAGGTACTACAAATTTTATGACACAAATCCTTAGGGCCTTGTACAGTGGTTGGCAGGAGGAAGCTGGTACTTTTGAGTACTTCTGCTTGTGAATCTTGCTGGCCGTTGAACTAGAAAGTAATTAGTAAAATAATATTTATTTAATTAAGGACATTATAGTAATTGTCCCTGTCATAACCTTTTTGACATTATTCACCGCAAGACCCCATCTCACGTAATCATTAGCATGGACTGACCACGTTTGATTCCCGGTGACACCGCCCTAATCTGCTTGACGCTGGAGCTTGGCCAGCAATCCCGTCCAGTTAATGTCAGCATCATTGTTGGCAGCAGCTCTGGTGTGTGCATGTCCCATCTGTGAAAGGGCCTCTAACTAAGTTGGTTAGGTGGCTTGAGTAGCACTTCTCAGGTCGTGTGGTGGACTCCCCGTGAGAGCAAGTTTCAGGCTGGGGTTAAAAAAATCCGCTCGTTTATCCCACGTCAAAGCACAGGTCTAAGGCCCAGTCACGGTCCTGGTCGTTCTCACATGGGTTACGGTGCTGCTGTGTATAGGTGGGGCTAGGGTTCGGCGGTTTCTCGACCTATGTGAGAAGGTATTCTTCTAAATGCAATGCTTGGGGGCTATCTTACCCCCGTAGGTTGAGTTTTTTTGTGTGCATGTCCCATCTTGTTTCCCTCAAGGCCTACAGTGAGCAGGACATCGAGGCAGCACCAGCCATGACCATCTTTCTTGGGGTCCTCATCTAGGCAATGGAACTCCCCTCAATCACACTTGCGCGCTCCATCCCAAAACCTGCCCCCAATCTTTCACCCTCCTTATGAACGGGACCATGGCGGCATCGACATTAGATAGGGAAGCAAAGCATCCCCAATGCAACTATCCATGAGATCCCAATGGATCTGGTGACAGACTACTAACACACTAACATGATTTTTGAGGCTATCGCTCATTTAGCCATGCTAACAATGTCCTGCCGCCCCTGTTGCCGGTATCAACGACACTGATGTTACATTTTAAAAAAAAAAATCATGCTTATCTAGTTTGATATTTGCCAGAGGGGCAACGGTGAATTGGTGATGGATTGATCATCTTCTCATGCCTTTGATCGAATATGAGCTAGCGTGCTTAGTGTTTGACCAATGGTAGAGAAACCCTGATCTGATGGTAGCAGTCAGGTACTCAGGTCAGGTGTCCAGGGATCAGGGTAGAGAGTCGAGGCACAGAGGAAAGCAACTGTATCCCATTTTTAAAAAGAAATCTAACTAATAAAGTGAATGTACAAATCTGCCCTCATATGAGAATAAAAAATAAAATAAAATAAAATTGGTACTGGACCCATCATTTTCCTACCCACTTGGTACTTCTAAGTACATTCGCTTTAGTACCTTCTATTTTTTCACCCTTAGATCCCGGATAGCCCATGTTTTCACCAACCACTATGGAAACAATCAATATCCTTATATTATGAGATTAATTGTTGGTCAAAAAAATTATATCCTTGTATTGTGAGATTAATAGTTTTTAATGAATAGATGGATCTTATATTTCCAGGAAGAGGGAGTAATATATATTCACCTTGTGTCGTGTATCAGGGAGAAGTCCATCACGAGTAGTGTCAGGGAGAAGTCCATCACGACTAACTGCTTTCAGTGCTTCAACCTTTATGGGCTCCATGAGGCACCCTAATAATAAGACATGATTAAAAACATGGGTTTTTAAATAAAAGAATTATTATTTCGAAATGTTATACTGTCGGGCCTCTCCACTCAAACGTTGTACTCAGCTAGGTACACAGATCGAAAACAAATGAAGAAGGAGAAAAAGAAACAAGAATAAGACCCATTATGCCTTTACGCGATCAACATATATAACTCAAACCACCTGTCAGTCTCTATGATCGAACTACAAATTAATCTTGACAAGCTATTCTCATGTACCGTAAAGTGAGATGGCCAATGTCCAGAAAAACACTGGCATCCCCTTTAAAAGAAACTGATGAATAGTTCATCTAAAGCATCTCTCATCACATGTCTCTCAAGTGCACTGGCTGCCATTTGCCAACTGATCAACAAGCTGAACTTGACCAGCAATGGCAAATGACGATCGATATGGCTGACCAAAAGATCGTTATTCAGTTGAGCCATGATTGAGCATCTCTCTACAAAAGCCAAATAAAATAAATCAGCGCATCCCTGGGTGCACAATTGAATATTGAAACACCGCAAGAGAAGACACACTGGAAACACCATTGGGTCCTCCAACGCAACACCTTGAAGGAGGAAAAAACGCAACACCATCCAGGAATACTAGTACGATTAAGCATCTGAAAGCTGATATGATTAGCATTTGGCGTAGTATATATGATTAGCTAGTATGATCAGCATTTTGGAATAGTATGATTAGCATAAGGAATACTTAACGACTACCCCATTCACTACTAGTATGATTAGCATCTCTACCCAGTATGATTACACTAGTAGAGAAACGACCTTTCATCTACTTCGATTTTGGGCTTTAGTCTCGATATTTTTTGCGTCCGGGAGTAGAGGGAGAATTAGTCCCGGTTGGAGCTACCAACCGGGACTAAAGGCTCCTGTCCTGGCAGGCTTTCGCAGCATGCCACCTTTAGTCCCAGTTGAAGCCTAAAACCGGAACTAAAGGTCAACCTTTTAGTCCCCGTTGGTATCACCAACCCGGATTAAAGGTCTTTTACCTGGGACTAAAGGTATCCCATGGGTCAATTCAAAAGGAGAGTGTCCAGGACTCTGTCACCTGTGGTGTACAGCTGAGTTGGTAAGGAGTTTATGCGCGAGGAGAGAGGTCTTGAGTTCGAATCTCATACACCGCAAGAGAGGTCTTCCTAGTATTTCGTTTATTTTTTCTCTTGGGATGGACCTTTAGTCCCGGTTATGTGCCCGGGACTAAAGATCCCAACCTTTAGTCCCGGATTGCTAGTCCCGGCTGGGAAACCAGGAGTAGAGCTAGTTCCCAACCAGGACTAGATCTCATTTCTCCACTAGTGTTAGTGACTACGTGAAATAGTATTTGTAGGAGCGGCTCTAGAGGCTTTGTAGGGGTGGTTTGCCCAGCCTCCCCTACCCAAGCACCTCTACAAATCATGTATTTGTAGGGGCGGTTCCCAGACCGCCCCTACAAGTAGGGGTGACTGTATATTGTGCCGCCCCTACAAATCAATTTACAGAAATCACGAAAAAAGGGAAAATATAGTAAAATTTTTTTAATCCGAGGAGGTCCCCACCCGGCAGCCACACCCACTCTATGGTTGCAGCATTTTTTTCACGATTTTTTCACACTTTGCGTCGGCCGGGATTTGAACCTGCAACCTCTCCCTCGCGTACAAACTCCTCTACCACTGCACCTCAAGATCACTTGTGTCTACAATCCATTTTGGCTCCCCACCTATTATACAAAACTGAGCATAAATTGATTCTTTGATGCCCTAAACTAATTCAAATGAAAAAGTTGTCAACTACAAAGTTTTATAACTTTTCGAGATCTACAACTTTCATTTTGGTAGTTTCTCCATCCGAGGTCACTTATAAAATTTGAATTTCCAATTTGAGAAATTCCAACATAGTTTTACATGACAAGATGATTTCAAATGAGAAAGTTATCAACTACAAAATTTTATAACTTTTTAATATAACTTTCATTTTTACTGTTTGTCCATCCGAGGTCATTTCAAAAATTAAAATTTCAAATTTTTGAAAATTCAAACGTAGTTTTCCTTGACAAGATGATTTCAAATCAAAAAGTTGTCAACTACAAAGTTTCATAACTTTTCGAGATCTACAACTTTCATTTTAGTTGTTTCTCCATCCGAGATCGTTTACAAAATTTGAATTTTAGTGCTTAATTTTTAATACTCGGTGTCTATTTGCAGGGGCTGTTCAATATTGAGCCACCCCTGCAAATCTGATTTGTAGGGGCGGCTGGATATAGAGCCACCCCTATAAATCGGGCCATTTGTTGGGGCGGCTGATAACACCGGCCGCCCCTACAAATCTATTTGTTAGGGTGGCTCATTTGGTAACCATTTATAGGGGCAGCTCAATATAGAGCTGCCCTAAAAAGAAAGGGAGGCGTTGCCACAAATCATTTTTGTAGTAGTGAGTGTTTGGCCATTTAGAAAATAAATCAATACTCCCTCTGTTTCAAATTGTAATTCATTCAATTTTTTTAGATACGTAGCTTTTGCTAACCTAGATATATGTCATGTCTAATATATAGTAATTAAAAACTATGTGTCTAGAAAAATCAGAACACATATAATTTGAAATAGGAGATCATTTTTTTGAGAGAACAGGCCCCTACTAATAGAGAACTAAATTAAGACATGAAGGAGTAAATAGTACAGGTACAAAGCTTCAGGAAAGAAAGAAAGAAAAAAAGAAAGAAAGAAAGATTACAGAATAGTCTTTGTGGGCCAAGCGGCAAGCGGTGATGTGATAGGAATCGGAGCAGGTCGACGTGAAACATCGATAACACAGGAGGAACTAACGAGTGGCCAACCAATGGCCGGCTTGCGTCTTTAATTTGTTTGAATAATAATTGATTGATCACACACCTAGACGTGGTCGTCGAGCATTTAGGTGCCTGAAGGGCAGACGCCTTCCCTCAGCCCCCCGCCAGAGAAAACCGACGTGTGGCTGTGTTGCAGTCGACCATACCAGCTGCGCCATCGGGGCCAGGCTCTTCCTCCGTCGAAGTATCAATCCCTGGTCCCTCTCTCTCGCCTTCTGAAACTAGTAGAGATACTGGGCAATCAAGAAGTTGGTGAATGATCAGCATCTATCCACCCTATTAATAGATGAACCCTGGTGGCTGCTGCTATGAAGCCACTGCTAGGAAAAGTATTACCAGAGACTTGTCAATGCAAATACTATTTTCAAAGGTGGGCATCCTGCATGCCTCTATTCAAGTCTCTATGTTAATCTCAGCCAACATATGTAGTGTGGGATGCTGAAAGGATCTAGATTGTTAGAGAAAAATCAATACCTTGGAGAAGATTCCCCACAGACGTGGGCCTTACTCCATAAGACTTCCCTCACTCTTGGGAGAGGTGGATGAAAAACTGAGAGAGAAATGTTACCGCTCTAATATTAGGTATAGATTTAATTCGCTATTGTATATGTACCCAAAGACTAGCTGTCTTATAAATATAAAAAGTGATGGCCGATCGAGGGATCGAAGACCCAATTGTCAAAATCAATTTAGTACTACTTTTTATCTTCTACCACAAGCTCTACGAACCACCTTACTGTCCGGTATGTCTCTCGACCCTATGTGTCCTTACCGATTCTAGGACCCTATATGTGTCTCCCCGATGGGTCTTCCTCTAGAGGCATTCGTGCGTTTTTTGGGCAAAGAACGACCATCTAATTGGCCTCGTCGATCTGCTAGTCGTCTCACCGTTGGGACCTCCCACTAGTACAATGACGGTTTTTCTTGGTGGTGCCCATTTTTTTCACTGGCAGTTCCTAATGAGCAGGCTCCACTAGTGTAAAATCTGTGGGCCTAGGCTAAAAACTGCCAGTGTAAACCGATTTACACTGGCAGTTTCACTATGAAAACCGCCAGTGTTAACAGTGTATTTACATAGGTGGTTTTCGTTACCGTGCCGCCAGTGTAAATGTAGCAAACCGCCAATGTACATAAACCTTCCCTGCGTATCTAGGCTGTGTGTGTCCTCAGACGATGTAACACCTGCCGGTGTGTGACCGGAATCGGCATCAACAACATGGTATATACATGCGTTGACTTACACGTATCACTTGGAATGTCGTGTCTATATCATATAGACGTGTGGAATGTCACTTGGAAAGTCAGGCCCATAAACATGTGTGTGGACTGGCATAGTCACATGCATAGAGAAAGAAATGGTATAGACTTGTGCAGTTTGGTAGTTTGAAGCCCATGCATGCTTTTGTTGTATGGAAAAAGGTGTTGACCATAGAGACACCGAGCAGCATTTGTCATTCGTATAGATGACTAGGTAGCGTGCCAGTGAGTTGCTACGGGACAGCTAAACTTTTGTATTAAAAACACACGGATGACATGATAAGATAACAATACTGTGAAAATAAATATCGACGTTAAAGTGACATTTAATCCATAAAGCAAAGTTTGTGAAATTAACACAGTTACGGAGAGCTCGGCGTCGCAGGCTCACCAACTCTAGTGTATAGACCAACTCTACAAAAGTTGAGAAATCCTGGAGGCAGCTAACAACAAGGGCTAGAGCATCTTGTCACTTTCATTTCTCCTGATCTTGCATTGCATCTTCCAGCCGATGCCCTTTTGTCACAGCTGAATATAAAACGAGGCAAAAGCTATGGTTTGCAATCCAAACAATACCGTTGCAAAAAAAACAGAATTCTTTTTGCAAGTACATCAGCAGTTTTGTCATGATAATACCAAATAGCCATGATAATGGCGCACCTCCCGCCGAGGATTGTGGCGCTGATGGATGCCGGAGTCGTGGGGCCGCATCGCGCCGAGTCCAGGGGAAGAGCGGGGCCGATGCTCGGAGTCGTGTGGGGAGTCGCCGACCATTCTTTCGGTATTGTGAGGCACGAGAGAGTGCACTCATACGAGCATTGGACTTCATCGATACAAGCGAATACATAATCTGTGACATCAATTACAATATATGGCTACAGAAGCATGTTAGTGTGCGTGGCCTGATCGAACCCGGCAATGATTCCGATAGTAATTAATGTTTATTAGGTTGTTTTCAAGGTCGTAGTTTAATCGGGTTCTAATTTTAATTTGTACGGCTTTGTGTGTTTAATTATTGTCATGCATGTAATTTGTGTAACATTTGTTGGGCAACTAGAAATATACATTCCGGTGTCGTATTCATCTCAAACTTTTTCTTAGGCTTCCACGTTCCATGTGTGAAGGAAACACCAAGTTTGGGATTTTCCGGAGATGGTTTGCTGCTTTTCTGAGATTTAATTGAATTTCCGTGCGACGACACCATTTAATTATAGGTTCAACTGAATCTATCCATGAAAAGATCTGGAATGGTGGTAAACTTTTACACAAGCTCTAATGTGCCCTAGGGATAAGAATTTTGTGGAGGTGGATGACAAAATCTATTGGGTCCAAGATGAAATTCACCCTCTTTTGTCTCATTCGGCACAGAGAAAAAGATAATAAATAAAAAAACTAATCAGAAAAACCTTAGATCTTGTGTGGGGTCTTAATTTGGGTGTATATGCTTGCCAAAAAAAATTCAAGCCATTTCGACATAGGCGGAGTATACATGCTACACAGAGATGCATGTGCCCTTTCATCGAATCATGACTATACACATAGGTTATCAAGGTTTCTGTGGTTCGTAGGCATTCCGGTGTCGTATTGGTCTCAAACTTTTTCTTAGGCTTGCACGTGCCACGTGTAAAGGAAACACTAAGTTTGGGATTTTCCAGAGATGGTTTGCTACTTTCTGAGGTTTAATTGAATTTCCGCGCGACGAGACCGTTTAATTATAGGTTAAACTGAGTCTATCCACGAAAAGATCCGGAATGGTGCCAAACTTTTACACAGGCTCTAATGTGCCCTAGGGATAAGAATTTTGTGGAGGTGGATGACAAAATCTATTGGGTCCAAGATGAAATTCACCCTCTTTTGTCTCATTCAGCACAGAGAAAAATATAATAAATAAAAAAACTAATCAGAAAAACCTCAGATCATATGTGGGGTCTTAATTTGGGTGTACATGCTTGCCAAAAAAATTTCAAGCCATTTCGACATAGGTGGAGTATACATGCTTCATAGAGGTACATGTGCCCTTTTATCGAACCATGATTATACACATAGGTTATCAAGGTTTATGTGGTTCATAGGCATTCTGGTGTCGTATTGGTCTCAAACTTTTTCTTAGGCTTGCACATGCATCTATTATGGAAGAGGCCACGAACATCTATTATAATGTACAAGGGACGGGAACACCGGCAATAAAGTATGAAAGGGGCAATCTTTTGGTTCCCGATCATGAGTATAAAAATCTGACAACATATATGCGCCAGTTACATGAATATTACATGGCTCAAGCAACAGAGATGGACGACTTTGGTTTTGAGGTTATTATCCGTTCGTCACATGTTTTCCATTATCCTGAAGAAGAGAAGTTCGATGTCAAGTGGGAGTGCTTGTTCCAGCTATACCAGAAATGCTCTCTCGATGTTCAAATGTTGACGCTATGGACTATGTAAGTACCCTACACGCACGATATTACAATTAATTACTCTCTCGAGACACAAATTGTTAACTTTTGAGCACTTCCCATGATTTTATGTAGGTGTATAGCAAAATTTTGCATTCTAAAAAGCAAATGGGATTACATAGGCTTCTTGGACCCATTGCGAGTCAATGAGAGGACATGTCTAAGCCTCCATGGATGTGACGTGGAAGACCTGAAATAGAGATTGATTGCTGTTTTCGACTAATTCACGATGAAGGACAAAACCCATATACTTCTAGCCTACAACTGTGAGTATGTGTTCTCGGTTTTTAATTTTATGCTTCTTTTTACATTAAGATTATTCGATAATTAGGATTATGTGATTGCAGCAACCATTTCATCTTCATTTGTGTCAATCTTGCTAAAAATCTGATCGAGGTGTGGGACTCAAAGAAAAAACCATTTCATCATCTGGATGCACTGGTGGCAGTGCTGAATTAGTAAGCGATCCTAATAATATATTATTTTCTAATCACACATACCGCTTTCTAATGTTTCTCCCTTTAATGTTGCTTAGTCTCCGAAGAAGACATATCGGTGGGACGCAGGTCCCATTCAAGGTTGTCGAAATGGAGGGGAAGTACCTATCACAGCCGGCGGAAAACAATAAATGCGGGTTTTATGTAATGTGGGCAATGCTTCGCTACATCGGCGGGAAATCGGAAGAAGCCGATAAGTTGGTGTGTATAATCCCTATTTCATTTATGTCTGTTAATAATTCAACAAAATAATTTACCGTTCCTCTTTGGATATCATCTTTTTTGAACAACAGTGCAAGAAATATAACCACGAAAGGCTGTTAGACATGGAGATCGTCGCACTACAATCGGAGCTGGTAAAATTCATCTTAGCTGAGATATTGGAAAAAGATGGAGTATTTTGCATTGTACAATCCGTGAAGTACATGGACCAGTATGGCCCAGAGCGGCTGGCCAGATTATTGTAAGAAGTCCGAGAAGCATTGCACAATCTGTGAAGTTCGAGAACATTTCTTTTTTATTTTGAGGGATCAAGATCTGGATAAGAACATTTGAATTGTAACTGTAACATTTGTAATGTTTAATATTGATGGACATGTCGTCTACGTAGCGTATATAAAGCGAAACCCGATTTCATGAAAAAATAGAAATTAAAATCAATTATAAAACAATAAAATGCGAACGTGACATCACTGCCGGTTATCAGAAAACCGACAGTGTTGTCGTAAACATCACTATCGGTTATCAACAAAACCGGCAGTGATGGCACTGCCGGCTCAAGCCACAAACCTGCAGCGTTGGCTTAGCCATCACTGTCGGTTCTTGTCACAAACCGGCAGAGATTCTTACTATAACACTGTCGGTTGAAACACAAACCGACAGTGTTGTTAGAACTGAACTCTACCGGGTGGTCTTATGAACCGGCAGTGTTGGTGGAAATGAACACTGCCGG